GAAGCTTTGCTTCCTCTCCAGCCTGGGCCCTGCGTAAAGGGTTTTCTGTGAGAACGTGTGACTGGGGAGAATGTGGGCATCACGAGTCCCATCTACACCAAAGCAAGCTTGGGACGGGAGGCATGGCTGGGGAGGGGCTGGCCTTACCTTCTGGGGGGCGGAGGGCTAATCTCCATAGCTCATTGGCAGTTCTGCCTCTGTACAGAGCATGCCGGGATTTCCTCCCAGCTGTTTTACATCATGAAGATTTGTATGTTGGGGAAATTCCAGGGCACAGCTGCAATTAATCTGCTGCACAGTCTTCAAGCTCAGCCGGGATTCTGTAGGACTGAGTCTCCGCCTCTCTTCAGGAAAAGGGGCTCTGGCTCCTGTGAGAGCACCCTTCAGAGGGGCCCTTCCCTCAGCCTGAGTCCAGCATAAGCAGCCCACCTGGCCAAGTGATCACCCCAAGGAGAGCACTGGGGGTTCCCCAGAAATGAACCCAGAACATTAAGTAAAAGGGGAAGAGCACCCCTTATAAATAGTAAAGCCAAAATGACATCAGTAGCAACATTTGATAAAGATGTCACAAAGAAAAGAAAACCTTTGTTCAATCTTAGGAATGTAGAAGTAAAAATCTCAAAATACTCATGGTTAGCATTCCACAGTCTAGTACGTGAACAAACAAGCCACCGTGACCAAATAGGGTTTACTTAGGAAACGCAAGGATACTTTAGTGTAAGAAAAGCCATCACTATGTCTACGTCTCATGACTGCGTCAAATAAATGACATGACCGTTTTAGTAGATACTGAGAGAATTCTACACTCTTCCAGTGAAAACGATTTAAAAATAAGAACAGAATCATCCTTCCTTAGCAAGGTCTAAACCACAGCCGCACTCTACTTAAGTGCGAACTACAATAGCACAATTTCTCCAAGCATGTTCCATGGAACCCCTGTTCCCCAAAAGAGTTTCCCAGGTTCAGTGAGATTGGGAAACCGTGTATCCATTCTGTCACAGAGAGTCACAACACACAGTAGCATATTAAGCAGCATACATAAATCAAGGATGGTATTACTCACCATTTAGGTAGGTCTGGTGTTTTCTTTTTGTTTTTGAGTATCAGAGAGAACAGTTATCCCACTGGTGGCATCCCATAAGTGGTGGCCATTGCCACTGCTTGGTCATCAGTTGCATTGATACCACATAGGTCCCATGTTTTACATTCCAAAGAACATCCTCCAGGAGGGAGGTAGGTGTAGCTGGACCATTTCTACTATGTGCTGCAGTCTGGACATGATGCACGGGTCAGAGCCAGTCATGGCCACTTGGATGGAGCCCAGACTGGTCTTGGAGAAACCAGTAGTTGTAATTTGCCCACGTGCCATTACTACATGAAGAATCTAGACTCAGCCACGCGTCTCTTAATCCCCAAGGACATGTACCCACCAATGAGCGATTCCCCGGGGGTGATTGTGGGCCTGATTCACATGAGAATTACAACCAAGAAGAGCTTTATTTCTACTAAACATTGTGCAGGGCCTGCCCTAGCGATTCAGAACGTCCCAACCACCTCCAAGTTTCTGGTGCCGAGATGTGGGAGGAGAACAAGGGGTGTTGCTGGCTCCTCTGCCCCAGTTCATGGTTCTGGGAAGCTCAGCTGTCCCTTTAGAATTCCCCTTTCCCTCAGAACTGCAATCCAGAGGCTTTCCGTGGCTAAACTACAGGGGTGCTCCACCCTGACCTTCACTTGTTTTAAAATCTTGAAAATACAGAAAAGTACAAAAGTAGAAGTGACAGTCCTTCATTACCCTACCTCCCAGAATGCATTTCTCTCTGCACACATGCACCCCCCCCCCACACACACACACACATACACACACCCAGGATAGGATGGAACTGGGAACAATGTACATCTGCCCACCTCTGACTGATCTGTAAGGGACCAGACTTCAGTGGTGGACAAGGCTAAAAGGGCTAAAGATTTCCACTCATCTTCCAAGCTTCCAGGTCTCGATTGAATCGGTGAATGAGAGTGGACTGTAAAAGGAGAAGAGGCCAATGGGGTCGTCTCCTCCCACCAGAAGTCCAGACATCTCGGAAGGCAGGCGAAGTGCCAAACACATGATAACCAAAATGATAGCTCCTACTGAAAGTCCTTACTCTGTGTGTGTGTGTGTGTTATTGTATGTTTACCTCGATAGCCCCAGTACCAAGACAGATAGACAGTCATGCAACTCATAACATATTGGGTACCAGCTCCTCAGCCATGAGAGCAGTGGTTCTTATCAGGGAACAATTTTGTTCCTCCAGGAGACATTTGGCAAAGTCTGGAGACATTTTTGGTTATCACAAATGGACAGGAGAGTGGAGGCTACTGGCATTTAGTAGGTGAAAGCCAAGGATGCTGCTAAACATCCTACAATGCACAGGACAGCTCCCACAACAAAGAATTGTCTGGCCCAAAATGTCAATAGTGCTGAGGTTGAGAAACCCTGCGCTAGAATTCTACAAGCCTCTATGCCTGACAACACATATTCTACAAGCCTCTATGCCTGACAACACATATTCTACAAGCCTCTATGCCTGACAACACATATAAGGTCAGCTGATAAGATCTAAAACTCTAACATGTCCCAAACTAGGACTCAGACTTTTTCGGGCCACCCCCATATGATGTAAGAACATCTTTGGCAAGCCAGCAAGAACGAAGAATGATCAGTGTTTATTTTTATGACTCTAAATAGGGAATCAGATGCTGGTAAAGATGATGGATTTTAGGAGCCCTCTATTGTGTTTCAAGGGGAGTAGATGGGTGACACCTCTCTTTAGCACCTGATTTTGTGATTGTAGTTCAACTTTAAAAAACAAACAGAAGCATTAGGGTAGTTGCTTCTAGAGAAATGAGTGTGATGTTTAGCACTCAAGTGTAAGCTCTGGCCACCTCAGATGTACACCTCAGGAGTACATTGATGTATAGTCTTCATTCAGCTTCTGAGCGGCCAGCTCTGTTTGAGGCAGAAAAGGAGAGAATAAAGCCCATCAAAGCAAAGAAAAGGCCAGGAGGCGAGGGTGGGGTGTTTAAGAAGATGATGTTATGAAAAGTTTTATGACTCATGTTGTAGTGAAAAGTGTGGGATTTGAAGTTGAGAGACCTCGGCTCCAGATCCAGCTCTCATAAAGTTAGGCAAGTCATTTACCCTGTATATTTACCTCCATTAGTTCATCTGAAAATTTGAGACCATCATCCTTACTTGTCATAGCAGGGTAACCATGAAGATTAACCTAAGTTTTGTGTGTGAAAATACTTTGAAAACTGCCAGTGTAGCACAAATGTTGTTATTCACTGAGGGAATTAGTTTTAACTAATGATACCAATGTTTGTCAAGTACTTTCTTAACTTGCCAGAAGCCTTTAAATCCCATTCAGGCTCTGGGTAGAAAAAGAGATAGGTGGGGGTGGGAAGGGAGGAAGCAAATAAGATCCTCAGAGGAAGGGATAGAGTTGAGACTCCATATAAGGGGGTGCAGGGTACCAGAGGACCCCAAGTGGAAAGACTGTCCATATTCATGGGGCCCCTGATACCCTTTCATTCCCACCTCCCAGGTCTCCCACAGCCAGGCCTGCTCAGCCCATCCCACCTCCTGTCTGTGCCTCTTGCTGGCCCTTGGTAGATGTGTCCTTGGGTTGCTCTTCTTGCCTGCGGATGCCTATCTGAAAGCCCAGCCCTTGCCCTCTCAGTCAATTTTTATGGTTGATGAAAAGGAAAGGGGCTTTCTGGCACAGAATCCATCCTACTTTCCTGATCCTGTGCACGTAGCTCAAGGCCAAATCATGACTTTTTCCTCTGAAATTGTATGACCAGAGCAAGGGATGACTCAAAGATTTCTTTCTGTCTCTCTGTATGAAACTCTTTCCGTTAGATTTAATTTTCAAAGTAGCCTCAAGGATTCTGCAGTCTGCATAGCTGGTCTGCTGCCAGAAGCACCATATCAGTGTTGACACTAAGACAACATGTGTGCTTTTGTTCGTGGCAAAAACTAATGGCTTGCTTATGAAAATTATAGCTGTCTTTTATCAAATGTCTCTCACATGCAAAGCACCGTGTTCAATACTTGACATTGTCCCTAATCCTTCTAACAACATGTAAAGTTAATGATCATAGCCTTGCCTTACAGATGAAGAAACTGAGACTCAGAGTTAAGATGCTTGTCTGGGGTCACAAGCCTACACTGGCAGAATGAGAACCCAAACCCATGAGGGCTTAGGTCCAGAGCCCAGGCGGACCCTCCCAGTGCCCTCACTGCTGTCCAGGCTCTTGCCAAAGACTGCCATGCTGGGATTAAGAAGGAGCTTTTCGTTTAAAGAAAGTGTGTGTGTGTGTGTGTGTGTGTGTGTGTGTGTGTGTGTATGTGTGTGACTTACTGTTTAGTTTGGATTTTCTGCAGTAATACATGGGAAAAGGCAGGGTGTGTCGGATTATCTTTTTAAGGTTGAGAAACACTAATGAAGTAAAAGTTCAGCACCCTTGAGTATGAACAGATATTACCCGTGACCCTGCAAGCGTCAGGCAGATGGTTTTTATTCATTCATTCACCAGATACTTCTGGAGAGGCTGTTTCTTAGGGAGCACCGTGTGTGATGTGGTGAGAGATGGAAATGAATGGTGCGAGATCGCCATCTGGGAGCCTTTGCTCCCTCGATGACTGACCCCTGCTTGTCCTGTGACTACAGCGGACTTGACTCTCACCAACAGGTTCTCTAAATACTTTGGTCGCTTGTCGGGTTGTGTGTGTTGCCCCAAAATGACGGAGGGGGCTGGTGGTGGTAGTGGCGATGATACATGTATACTCTACACCATGACGACTATCTGGACATGGCCCAACGAGGAGCGTGTGTCGTCAAAGGGAACCACGTCCCTAACTCACCAGTAGCCCAGCTGCAGGTCTTCCCTCTGCTCTCCCAGACGCACGAGGCCTCATCTCACCAGCTGCTTTGTGTTTTCTGTCCCCTGTACAGTACCTGCAGATGAAATGGCCCCTCCTCGATGTCCCCTCCAGCGCCACAGTCAAGGACACCCGATCACCGTCCCCAGCACACTTGGTAAGTCTGTTTCTCCTTAAAGTGCTGAAGGGACGCTGTTGCTCACCTTGTCCATGTCACCGTCTCCGCTCCGTCCTCCCGAGGCTGCTGGAGTCTAGTGGCATTGCTTCCACGTGTGTGAGCATGCCGAGCGGTCAGAGCTGTAGCTATTAGGTTGTGCACTCCCCCCACGCCTTCCACCTCAACACACACACACATACCACCTGGGATGTTGTGTGGTCGAAAGTACTGCGGGACCCTGGCTGGTAAGCCCGGGGCTTCCCGCGCTGCCGGAGCCCCTCTGTGGGCAGCGGCATCTCCTCTCTCTCTCTCTGTCAGAGCTCATTTGGCTTCCGCTTCTTCCTCAGAGCTGCAAGGCAACTGTTAGGCTCTTCGGTACAGGATGTTCTAGCAAAGAATGAATTGAAACGTGTGCAGACAAAAACCTCGCGGGGCAGCCGAGGCTCTTCTGCCAAGCCCTTCAGCACCACGGGCTGCAGGGCGACGGGGAGTCCACATGGTCCTGAGGGGCAGGGGCAATGGGGCCCAAGCAGGTCTTCGCACCACCTCAGGACTTGCAACAGATTGAAATTGAGAGTAAATAAGAGATGATCCTGGAACCTTGCATTTCCCTTTCCTGGACTTTTCTTAAGAGCTTGAGGCAGCCCTTGCCTTAGGACTATACACCGCACAAGCTAACTGGTGCTACTCCATGTACAGTGAGTCTCAGAATTATAGGAGGTGCAGCTAGAAGGAGCCCAGCTGGCACAACCTAATCATTTACAGACAAGGAGACCTGGGAATGCGCGTTTTTAAAACTTTATTGTGGAAAATTTTGCCTCTTCCCTCCACCCATAACCCCCCTCCCACCACACTACGTTGTTTTTAAAGCAAATCCCAGACACATTATTTCATCGTATTCAGGACATTTTAAGATATCTTGATAGTACTCTTCATTATAAGCTTAGAGTCTAGTTGAAGAGAAAAAAGACATAGAAAGATAAATAATGGCGTGGTGGCCCTTTTTGATTTTCAGTGATCATGAGACCACTTATAGGAGCAGAGCCCTGGGCAGTTTACAAAGCAATGTCATGTGTAGTCATCAGATGACTGTCACAGCCACCTATTGGGGAGACGGGAGGAGACTGCTATTTCACACAATCTGTGGGAGAGACCAGTGACTGTGAGTGGCAGGACCGGCCGTCCAGTGCAGGCTGCCCCTGAGAGGTTCTGTGGCCGGTCACTCATACCTAAGCATTCCGTTGAACAAGCACCCCAGGAATAGACCCGGGTGGTGACTGTCCCTCCAGATTCTCATTTCCAATGGCCAGACATGAGGTACAAATGCCCTCTAGTGGCATGAGTCTCTCACGGTGGAGAACGTGGCATCCCACATCTACCTGCCACAAACCTGGCTTGTCTCCTCCCAGCATAGCTCTCTTTTAACTGTTTCAAATTTTTGCTGGCCCCCACCCATCCTGAGGCATCCTGTGGCATCCCCCAGCCCACTCCAGCAGACTCTGAGATGGCAGGGCCCTCTCGTCTCTCTTCCCTCCACATACCATCTCTGTGCATATGGTGTAAATTCTCTATCTACTTTTAGAGGAAGTGAGGTCCCTTCAAAAAGTCTCTTTAACATTTCTTGTGATACATGTGCTAGTTTTGACTTGAAATTCTACAGGTTGGGAAAAGAACACCATTTTCAGTTTTCAAGTCTGAGCATCTCATTCCAACTTCTGAGATACATGTATGGGTAGGAGCAAAACCTGAGACACCCAGGGAGGGGTGTATGTGTTGGAGGCTGTGGGTTTGAATCCCAGCTCCACCTCTTTCTGTTTTGTGCAGCTTCAGGCAAATTACTTCATCTCTCTTTGCCTCGGTTTCCTCATCTATAAAATGAGAATTTGAAGAGGACTTGACCTCATAGAGTTGTGTGAAAATGAGCCAGTGCATTGCAATAAGTTTAGAATTATGCCTAGAGGAAAGTAAGCCCTCGGGAACTATTCCTTACTACTATCACCACTACCACCTAACATACCATTTAATTATCAGACTAAGAGATGACGAGGTCCTGAATTGGGTGCCAGATCAAATGGACAGATTGCAAAGGTAACAGAGATAATGAGCCTGTAGAATTTAGCATCTAACTCCCAAGGATATGATTTAATTGGTCTAGGGCGGGGCTGGTATCTTAGTGTTTGAAGCTCCCCAAGAGATTCTAAGGGATAGCCAGAGTTGAGAATCATCACCCTAATTGTAACCTGGAAGCAAAAGAGGAAAGAGTCCTAGAGATGAGCCCAGTGTACTAGGTGTCGATTTCTCTGGGCTACAGGTAGAAGCAGGACCTGAAGGTTGCCGAAGTAGTCACAGAGGTTTGGACACTGGCTTTGTTATTAGAAAAATGGAAATACTTGATTACGAAATTTATTTTAGAATCATGAGCAAAATATTCTAAGAGAAGGTTTGCCCTGGGAGAAAGGCAGATGAAGGAAACAGCCTGCATACTTGCAGAGATTTAGTGAGTCAGGTCCAAGCTGCCTCTTAAGGAGATGTGTGTAAACAAGTCGTAACCGGGCCAGGGTGGGGATGGAGTTAAGTGTCATTACTGCTTGGATTTTACGCCTTCAAAATAAGCTGTAAAAGCTGAACAACAAGGACGTTTTATGTTTTATATGTAACCCCTCACCATGGCCACATGTGCCCAGCACCTGTCTGTCCCTCCACTCTCTCCCTGGAGCACTGTGCCCAGCATGCAAAACAAATATACACACCTCCAGAATATAAGCAACTCAAAGATAGGACTTACATCTGTTTTATTCACATTTGTTTTACCCGGCACCTGTCATAATGTCTGGCTCAGAGTAGATATGCAAGGAGCATTTGTTGAATAAATGGAAGAAAAAGTGGTCTGGGGAAAGATTGATAGACCGCTTCTAAAACCACTCTCTACCCTTGGATCCAGTCCCTCTTGTCATTCAGGATTTTTTTTAATTAAATCTTTTTTAAACCATAACAGTAATGCACGTGCGTGTAGAACACGGGAAAATGCCAGAGTGCACAGAAAAAGACCTATAACCCCACGACACACAAACATTTTGTTATATAGCATTTCCATCTTGTTTCTGTGCGTGTATGTGTGCTTGCGCCTGTAACTTGTTTTCTAGATGATGATCGAATGCGTTCTTTTAATAACAGTAAGCACCCTGTTTCAACTTTAAGCTTTAGGTCACTCTCAGAAGCAAATTGCAGAACTTCTTGTCCAATGAGCGATTGCCTTGTAACCCTCCTAAAGGAAGGCTGTCTTGCTGCTCCGCCTTTGAGCTGAGAAGCCTGACTGCTTAGCATGCCACTTCTCAAGGAAAAACATTGATTGGGGTTTCCCTTTTAAAATTATAGTCATGATCTTCTCATCGGTATGCCTGTATAGATACAAAAACCTCCAAAACGCATCGCATAACTGTTACTGTTCTGTTCTACCTCCAAAAATGATTTCAGTTCTTATACAGTATTGACTTTAATTTAGATAGCATTTTAAACCTCCAGGAAATTACAAGATTAATACAAGGAACTCCCATGTACATTTCATCCAGATTCAGAAATTTTGCCCCATACTTTGTTCTCTTTCTCTGCGCATGTTCTCTTTCTCTCTGCGTGCTCGCTCGCTCCCTCTCTCTCTCTCTCTCCCTCCCCACCCCACACACAGTTTTCTTTAAAACAATTTGAGAGTAAGTTGGAGACACTGTGCCACTTTACCCCTAAATACTTCAGATACGTTTCCTAAAAAGAAAGACATTAGCATTATCTTACAGTGACCACAGTACAGTTATCAAAATCAAGAAATTAACATTTCATATTATTATGTAACTCACAATATATATTCTAATTTTGGTAAATGTCCCATTAATTGTTCGTCAGAGCCATGTGTTTTTCCCTGGTCCAGAGTTCAGTCTGAGATCACACATTGCATTTAGTTGCCGTGTCTCTTTAGCTTCCTTTAGTCTAGCAGAGTTTCCTTGCCTTTGTCTTTTATGACCTTGACATTTTTTGAGAAGTACAGACCACTTGTTTTGTAGAATGTCCCTCAATTTGGGTTTATCTGATGTTTCCTCGTGGTTAGATTCAGGCTGTGTGTGTTTGGCACGAACACCGCTGCACCGATGTTGTGTGTCCTCTTTTCATCACGTCGGGGAGGCAGGCCTGTGGTGTTCGTTTGTTCTAGTATTGGTGCTGTTAGCTTTGATCATTTGGTTCAGGTGGTGTCTGCCATGTTTTTCCGCTGTGAAGTTATTTTTTTCCCTTTGTAATTAATAAGTGCTTTGTAGAGAGAGGCTTCGAAGCTATGTAAATGTCCTCTTTCTCATCAAACTTTCACCCACTAGTTTTGCAAGGCATTGTTGATTATCTACCTCCAATCATCCCTTTTGTTAGTTTCTGCTATTGAGGTTTATTTAGTTTTAGGGAATTCTTACTCGTATCTCTCAGCTCATTAATCTTAGTATAGAGCCGAATGGACATGGTGGCAAGTCACCAGTCTACAAATAGTATTCCCGAAGAGACTAAAACAGGTGAAAATGAAGGAAGGCCCAGTTCTTAAACTGGGCTTTAAGAACAGAAACTTGAATTTATAGAGCTCACCAGAATTCTACAAAGTAAATGAAAATTGACATTCACCTAGACACCTCATAAGTATGATGGGCTCAGTTCAACTATTCGAACTACAAAAGTTTAAAACTTTTTTCCTACAAGCATCTATATAGGGGGCGGAAAAAGAAGGCCAGTGCCAAAGGAACAAAAATAAAGCTAACCTCAGGGTTTTCTTCTGCCATCTTTAATGCCAGCAAACAGTGGAAAAGGGAGAGCTTTGATCAGGAAAGATTTATCCCAAGATAAATCAAAAGTCATTTCTCCTTGAAGCCTTCCCTGGTCAACCTGTGTGATTTATAACCCACTCCCCCTCATTTCTTATCTGACGTAGTTTTTCTCCTTAACATTTATCGCTATTTAATATATTATTTATCTAT